AAACAGCATTTTAGTAAATAATAAGGTATATTTTATTAAGAAAATAATTACAAACATAGTTGAATAAACTTTATTTATAAACTTTTTTCTCTACGATATCAATGGCTTCCCTGATGTTGAACTTATGACATCAATTTAGTCAAGTCTGGTTTAGTTAGTCGTTTTAAGTCGTACACAAGCATCTGAATTTTCAATAGTTAACCTGCTTCTGTTTTTGCTTAAACTATATTTCATTTGTGAAAATATTTGCTCACATTTATAAGTGGACCCGAATGTGGACAAAATGGCAAAGGCAATTTGTTTTAATGATGAAAACCTCGTAGGGAGTGATACCCAACATGTTGATATCATCAGAAAATTATCATCTTCTGTATTTTCCAAATCGTTCCGCAATTTCTTGAATTTATTCGTCCATAATGTTGAACTTTTAAAATCAATCATTTTCTAAACTAAAATTGTCAATTCTTAGATATTCAAAATACTGCAAATTTATAAGTATTTTCTTCTATTTTCATCGGAGCTTTCATTATAAATGTAAACATTTCTCCGTGTTTCTTAAGACTTTGAAATCGACTTTCATATTCACTTTTAATGACCGAAATCCAAGTTTCGAACATATTTAGATTGCGTTCATCAATATTTTCTTTTTCATGTTCCCTTTTTAACAAGGGAAAGAAATGAAATTTTTTAGTTTTTATGTCGGTTTCAAATAATATCAATTTTGAAGTAAAACTCTTCCATTCCTCATACATTTTCAAAATTGTGTGGTTATTTCCTTGCAGTCATATGTTGAAATCATAATGGTTCATTATGTCTGTTAAGAACAAAAGTCTTAAAAACCATTGTTTATCATTGAGTTCGAGATCATTTTCACTGATGTCATGAAGAAATATTTGTATATCATCAAAACACTCTACAAATCTATTAAGAACTTTGCCCCGACTTAACCATTATATTTCAGAATGTAATAACAAATCTCCATATTTCGATTCAATTTCCTCCAAAAAGCTTTAAAGCGCCTGTGTATTAATGCTGATCGTTCTACTATCATGTTTACGATCTGAACAACCTTTTCCATTACATCCTTAAGTTGTTGTGTAGATGCCTTTGCCTTTGCAAATAAATTTTCTTCATGTATGATACAATGAAACGATAAAAGTGAACGGCCAAGTTCATTTTCCATTAGTTTTACAAATCCAACAGTTTTTCCTCTCATACTCGGAGTACCATCAGTTGTTATGGAAAAAAATTTACTTTTTAAATCCTATACTTGCCCATTTTTAAAGTTTGTAACTTTTGTACTTGACAAAAAATATCAGTGCCTTTGGTGGTGTCATTCATTGAAGCAAGAACGCATAGTTCTTCATTTCTAAGTAAATTTGATACATGTATATTTTTTAAGAACTGTTTAGCTCCTAATTCTCTAACTAGTTGAATAATGCTTTAACTTAAAATGCATGTACATTAACCAATGTATCTGTGTTCTGTACAACTTTGAACTTTTTTTTTTTTCAAATTGTGTGATTCATCTTGAATAATTTAATCCAGGGGTCAGCAACCTTTTTTGGCTGCGGGTCAAAATCAACCAAAATGCGAGTATTAAAGAGACATTTGGGTTAGAGATATTTTCATATTAAAACAGCATTTTAGTAAATAATAAGGTATATTTTATTAAGAAAATAATTACAAACATAGTTGAATAAACTTTGTTTATAAACTTTCTCTACGATATCAATGGCTTCTCTGATGTTGAACTTGTGACATCAATTTAGTCAAGTCTGGTTTATAGTTAGTCGTTTTAAGTCGTACACAAGCATCTGAATTTTCAATAGTTAACCTGCTTCTGTTTTTGCTTAAACTAAATTTCATTGAAAATATTTGCTCACATTTATAAGTGGACCCGAATGTGGACAAAATGGCAAAGGCAATTTGTTTTAATGATGAAAACCTCGTAGGGAGTGATACACAACATGTTGATATCATGAGAAAATGATCATCTTCTGTATTTTCCAAATCATTCCACAATTTCTTGAATTTAACATTTGAGCTATTTATTGATGCAAATCTAATCATTATTACAAGCCTACCAATGCTATTTATGTTGGTGCTTTCGTCAACTGCAATGTTAATTATGTCACAAGATAACAAATCATTTTTGACCTGTTCATCAATATTCTTGGCCATATCTTCAACACGACACTGGACTGTTCTAGCTGACAATGGCATTTCTTTGATTCTCTCAATTATTTGTTTTTTATTTATAAGTAATTAAATAAGTGTTTGGAACAATTTAGGAATGCGTTTTTCAAAAACTCGCCATCTGTAAATGGTTTTCCGTTGGTACCAATGCTAAGAGCTGCAACAAAGCTGGCAGATGTAGCGCGATTGTTGCTGGTAACAAAACTCTAAGAATTTATTTTGTTTTCCAAAATTTAATACACGTTTACCAATGTATTCAGATTTATCTTCATTTGCCATTTCACTCACATCTTTATGTTTTGAAGAAAAGTGTCTCTCAATATTATAAGTCCTGGCGGTAATTATATCTGTACATAAAGTACATATCAATTTGTCACCATTTTCGATACACCCATACTTTTCTGTCCACACATCTTGAAATAATCTCTTTTTTGCTTTTTGTTTGTTCATGGTAATTTTTTAAAATAATAATATTTATTTCAATCTGTTTATTCATCTAGGTCAATATTATTGTGCTACTGTACTACACGTGCTATAACTGTAACTGACATACAACTGAGATAACGACGCACGCGTCCAGGAATGGTACAATTTGTTCAGACAAAGTCGCTGCATTCCGCATACTATCGGCCGATTCCATATCCAGTCAGGCGCGGGGCTGGGGCTTTAACTGATATTTTTATATGTTATACTGGATTCAAATTTGGTACGTTCATAACTTTGCGACAAAAATTTTTTGGGAAAAAGAAAAAATGTTTTATATCTTATACTTTATTTTCGGTCCACTTTATTTATAAAGTGGGTCACTTGAAATTACCAAATGGGTCACTGGGTGACCCACGGGTCATAGGTTGCCGACCTCTGATTTAATCCCTCCAGTGCACCGAAAGAACTAAACTTTGACTGCTTAATGTTAATTTGTGGAGCATATGGAGAGAACTAAATTTTTTTTAGATTTCTCTCAGACTGTTTTTGATTACTATCATTTTCTGAAGCATTATTTATAAACATAAATATTAATCAGCTGAATGTGTGTATCCCCAGCTAATATTTTTTTCTCTTTGCCCTTCTCTGTTCTTCACCTTTTTTACTCGTATTAATCAAGGGGCTGGTGTCACCCCTAGTGCTGGAAGTAATAACTAAAGTAAATGGTAATTAAAGTAGACATCTCATGGCTTCATTCATATCATAATGTCTGAAACCAACATCAAAACAGTTTGCAGAATGCAAATCATAAATTTAGATCATAATAGTAAGGTTTATAACATGCTGTTGATTATGTTAAAGGAATCATATCTACTGTTTTTAACAACAGCATCTTATCTGCTTTCAAAATTAAAGTTTTGAAACTTAGAATTCCATTTGATAGACAGATGTCTTGTTTTGAAGCCGCAGAGCAAAAAATCAATTTGATATAGGGGAAAAGTATATACAGAGAGGACAGTTTTGTATTTTAGAGCAAGAAAAGTTTTTTATGAATTTGAAAGGTCAGGTAAAGAGATGGGACCTAAAAAAATAAATAAATAAAAATGTATGTGTTAAATATAGTTTTTTTTTTTTTTTTTTTTTTTTTTTTTTTTTTTTTTAAGACCTAATTTTATGAAGAGAGAAGTGGAAGTTACCTACCAGTAAATATGCTTACGAGTGCACTGAATTGTGCACTCATGAAGTCTGTGTGTCCTGATAATGTATCTCCCAAGAGTGTGTTGTATTGAGAATACTAATTTATTGTTAATAATAATTTTAAAAGATGGTGTTTTTTATGCTTTTATTACAAAAGTCTAATTATTTGTTGCTGAAGCTGAATAACTAATCATTTGTTGCTGAAGCTGAATAATAATAATGTGAATAGAAGTATGGCATTATGGAGAAATCTGCTGTATTTGAGCTAGTTATGTGCACTAGTGAGGCCAAAAATCAAATAAAATGAAATAAGAAAAATAAATACTCACGCATATATATATACACACTATTCTTTCGACTTATTTCAAATTCCCTTACTTACATATTTTGATATTTTGCAGTGTTTTCAATTACTGAGTAAGTATTTTTGTTTTAATAATTCATATAACTTTGTGAATAAACATGCCAGATGTGGTTATCTTTTGAATGGGTTCATGGGTTATAATTTGTTTCTGTTTCTAATATAAATGATGGGATACTCGAGTTTCTAAGCAAGAAGTGAAACATAAGCATTTCGAAATTCATTTTTTGTAGTAAAAAAATTATACATTTGGAACGTTTTTTTAAATAACTCCAAGCAGATACAGTTTTGTACAGGTGAAGCTATCTAGAGCAAATCATTTGGATACTTTTATCGGTTTACATGCCAAATATGAAAAGAAAAGAAAAAAAAAAATATATGGGCAATGCTGAACACTCTATAAATGTTAACACTGATCAGATGACTTGCATCCACAGCACACATGTTTGTCTTAATGTGGGTTCGGGCCTCAGCCTCGCATGCACTCCATTTTTGGTTTTAGACCAAAAATGGCTCTTCTTTTCTACTACAATTTTTGCCAGAACATGGCACCACATTTACTTCTCTTCTAGAGACTCTGCACTAGGTGCAAAAAGTACATTCCATCTTACTGGATTCATCATTAAAGATACCCTATTTATAATATGTTGGTAAAAGCCGCACTAGGCCGATTACCTCTTAATTGTGTTACAACAATGATGTTTGCCTTAAGATTTTGATTACTGTGATATGTGAACTAGATTTTATTGTACTTTTGACTTATTTGAAGGGGATGCTTATGTTCAAAGCATATTAGAACAATATTTTTCTTTTTTAGAATTCAGCCAATTTCATTTGTTACTAAAGTTGATGATTTCGAAGTTAAAAATGAACCAATTCTGCAGTATTTGAAAGACAGCAAGGAGCGGAAAGAACTTTTTGATGCTATTGCAAAGTACAAAGATTCTTGTGTTGAAATTCCTATTGTTGTTGGCAATGAAGAAATCCGATCGGGCGATGTTAAATATCAAGTTATGGTATGATAATATTTATGATTTAATGCACCATTTTTTCCCCAGTTTTGTGAAAAAATTTTAATAAATTATAAATTAACAACTGCTTGATTGTATAATTTGAAATTCAGTATAATGAATAAAACTTGATATTATTTTTCTACTGTAGTTCCTTTTAGTGTTTTATTTAAACAAACAAATAGACTCTTGACAACTGAAAGGAGAAAATTATGTAATTTTTGAGAAAAGTTTAAATGAAGAACATTAAAAATACGTAATACTGTATTCAACATTTCATTTCAGTGATTTTCTTTTTATAGTACTTCCTTTTTATAATGACCTTCACAAGACAAAGAAAAGAGATTTTCAAAAAAATAATTTTTACCACCACTTTCTGGCAATCTGTTTGCTATTTCATGCGCCAAAGTAATTTATTCAATGTTAAATTTGACATTTTATTTAATATATGTAATTTAATGTACACATAAACAAATTATAATACTTTAGAAGAGTTGAATTCTAATTGCTTTGCATCATCAAACTGAAGCCAGTTACACAATCTATCAGTGCATGGAACTGCATTTCCATAAGGAAACATATGTTTAACCTCTTTGCTGCTTAACATCAAGCAAACAAATCCCCTCCCTTCCCCACAATTGGCCTGTGGCCTTGGAGAACTGATTGCAATCGTGAGCCCAAGTGCATATTATTTCATATAGCATATATAGAAAAATCCTAATACTTAAAATAATAATTCATGATAAGTGTAGTATTATTAATAATGAGTATATTCCCAAATTTTAATTATATCTTTATAATAATGAAGCAAAAAACTTGAGAATTTAAATATCAGTGCTCATAATATCCTATTGCTATATTTACCAACAGAAATTTTCAGCCACTTGCACTGCGGGAAGCATTTCTAAATTAATAATGTGCATCATTAGCATCACACATTTAACTTTCATGGATTAAATTGATAAATAATATTCATCACAACAATTCTAACACTTGAAAGTGTTTACAAACTTCAGTAAGTTTTTAGAGCATTCTGACATAATTTTTTGCACGTTTAAAATTTGAAATAAAACATCCATTTTCAGCATATCGTATATGATACAGTGGGCCATCAGTGACACTTTGCTCTCATATCACATTTGATACGACGAGCCCATGAACCATACTATGTATGCAGGGTTCGTACAGTCCTTAAGAGTCCTTAAGTTTTTTGGAATCGATTTTTTGGTCCTTAAAAGTCCTTAATTTTAGCCCAAATCAGCAGAATGTCCTTAATTTTAATCATCTGAAATTTCTGTGTGTTTTTACGACTGCCATTTTGAGTGTGAATTAGCATTTTGGAGGAATATTTTTGGCAATTCACTGACGTATGTGGTTATCTTTTGAATGGGTTCATGGGTTATAATTTGTTTCTATTTCTAATATAAATGATGGGATACTTGAGTTTCTAAGCAAGAAGTGAAACATAAGCATTTCGAAATTCATTTTTTGTATTAAAGAGCTCTTACACAATTTTCACTTTTGGGGATGTGAATTCTTTTATTAAACTTAAATTTGGCGACTTCTCAACATTTTGGCGATTTTAAGGTCAGTTTCTATAGAAAATTTTTAATTCTGAAATTTGAGAATTTTTCGACGATTTTTTAAAAAAATATCTTAACATTGATAAATTTCATTAAAATAATGGTAATATATAGGAATTATATTTAAAAAGTAACATTAAAATAAAGCATTTTTATTTTTCGCTGTAATATTATAAAGTTTCATTTTGGCAACTTTTATTATACAATATTTTGAATCTGAAAAATGAACAAGGTATAATGCTATAAAGCATAATTTACGAAACAGCTCTTAGCAAAAGCAAAATTAGCTATGTAATTAATTAAAAATGTCTTCTTTTTAATTTTTTCATAGTAAGCGTTTTTCCCGTGTAATTGTCTCAAAATATTAAAAATTCATAGAATATGCATCAGTTTTCTCTATAAAATTAATTTTACACTTTTTCCTTCCTTTCTTTTTTTTTTCCAAACTATTTATGGCTTTTTGCTGTTAAGAATTGGTTGGGATAATTTTTCTTTAGTATTTTTGACATCACAGCTTGGAAAGTTTAGAAGGATTTGAAGACAAGATTTATAGACCCACGATCCTAGAAGATTCGAGAAATATGTGACAAAATGAAAAATGCCTCCATGGTATTAATGGGTAATGGATATATTTTATAGAAAGTTTGCGATGAATTTCTTACTTTTTGGAGAATGTCTGGAAGAACAATGAAGACATATATTTTAATGTTTTTATTCCTGATACTATAATCTTTTTCTTAACATGTTTATCTTCCCTTTATTTTCTCTACTTTTCACTAGACACAAGCATGGAAAATATCAAAAATGCTTCTAATCTTATGAGTTGGGCAGGCATTATGGAAAGGGATTTTTTACTAATAAATAAATTGAAAACTTAAGTTTAAAAGATCCATCTAATATGCCTTAATGCATCATACACAGAGCTGGCACTAGGCATTTTCCCATCTGTTGAAAAATCTCTGTGGATCCTAAGTTCGACTGCATAGTGCCTTATAAGAAGTATGTTAATTTTATTAAAAGTTACATTTTTAGTTAAACTCTCTTTACTATCGCTTCTTAATTTCAACTTACACTTCCAGCCAGAACGTAGTTTTAGAATCACGTCTGAATGCTAATGAGGAAGAGCGGTATTTAACTGCAAAGTTCTACTGTCTTAGTGAGAGAGATACCAGATATTCTAACCAGCACGTGTTTGCCTTTTTAGGCTGCTCTCTCATAAGCTATTTTTTCTCTCGGCCGTACCTTAGGCCCTTGATAGCTTCGCAGCCAATTAGCGTTAAGGGGCCAACTCTGTTAGAATTTTGATAGCTTCGGCTATATCTCTTTGGTTAAGATTAGTTTAGTTTAATTTTTAGTCTCTTAAGTTCGAATCAGAGTGTCGGTCTTATTGTACAACTCCAAGACTGTTAAATCAATTTGAATAAGAAAGGGTGTTTTAACCCTATCCAAGTTTATTCACTGTCTCATGAACTCAAGCGATTATTCACTTACTAGTTCTTAAGATTCTTCACTTTTCACTGTAACTTAGAATTACGCAGTGGAGAATCCTTTCTAAATTCTGCTTCCAGTGCCTGCTCTAAATTCTAAAAATTTTGCCATTTCTAGATTTTGTTGTTTGGTGTGTCACTAAATTCTAAAATTCTGCCACACCAGCTCTGTAACTGGCCTTTACCATATATATTTCATATTTCTTCTGAATTTCATATTACTAAAGAAATTAAATTAGTCACTTTTTCTATACGTTCTAAATGCATTTAGTGTTTTTTTTAGAAAAACAGAAATCCTTAATTAAATCCAAAAATTCTAAAATGAAAAGGAACATGCTGAAGAAAGAAATTGAATACATAAAGAAATTTTTCTTCAAAGGTATATGCAGTTATTATGTAAATGTACCCAGTTGTTTAATGATTTCAAAGCCTTTACTATAATTTTTCATTTCTATTTCCTCATATGATAGAGTTACTGAGCCAGATTAAATTAAAATTAAATTGTATAATCTTTGACTCCTAGTCTACATTTTTAGTTTGAATTTGACTGTTCTTGTTTAATAACGTCACAGTGAGATGTAATTGACTTTGTTAGCATCAGAACATGCCTTTATGTTTGTTCTAAGTTCTTTTTAAATAAGAGGCTTATTTAAACTTTTGTCTGATATTGTAGGTAGTTTCAGACATAATGATAATTTTCTTCACATCTATTGGGGATTTTGGGCTATTTAACTTTTACCAGATCAACTAAACCCTCATAGCTACATTGTGGAGAGCTTAACAAGTTAGGAGATAAAGCACGTAGAAACTAGCGAGAGCACTGGTTAGCATATTGAGACAAATCTCTAATTATTGTTAGAAAAGATGCTTAAAGAGAAGGAAATCTATGCAAACTAGCCAAAATGTTTGGGAAGGCTTCAAATTAAAATGATGAATAAATATTTTGTTGAGTGTTGTTACAAAACATAAATGTTTTGTAGCTTTTAATGTGTAATTATTCTAATATCATTTAAGAATCAGTGTCATAAATTACATGTATTTTAAACTGTGAAATGTTATTAGATTTTGATTTTAATAGGTTTTTTTTAACAAATATCATTAAAAAATAAAATTTAATAGTGGCCATGTAAATTCATAATGACTAAGGTTATATATTTACCTAATTTAATTATTTAAATAACTACTTACCCTTAAAAATTATCTTTACATATTAAAGCGAGTTATTGCCTTTCATTAATACTCACTGTGGTCACAAGATAAAACACAAAAATTTAAAAATTCAAGTAAAACTTATTCTTTGTATCCAGTGAGACTTAAAATAATACAAAACAACTTATCATCCCTGGTGCTTTAATGGCTTATTGGAACCTTAAAGTATATTAACTGAGTTACAACCCTTGGAAATCTGCATGAAGCTACGACACTAACTGCATCAAACAAAGCCTGACTAACTTTTAACACTTGCCAACCGTGCCTACACCAGGCATTTCAGATTTGTTCGAATCAGCATGTCTCTCTGGACAAGCAGCAGCGGTGATAGCATTCAGTCTTTTGTTATGAATCATGCTGATTATGATCTTACTTCTCATTTTAACCTATGCTATTTGACATAAAATCTAACTGCTATTTACTAAACCTCTAGACCAGCGGTTCTCAACCTTTTGACTATGAAAACCTTTAGTACCACCACTACAAGTACTATTACCAGCACCACTCTTGAACAAAGCTCAGATCGCATAAATTTACAAGTGTTAAAGAAAAAACTCAATCAGGATTCAGGATGTTGGGGGTTTTAATTTTTAAAATAAATGGTTGAAATTACTTTGTCTAAGTAGTTAAAGTAGTCTTTGTGTAGCACCTATTTTTTTCTTGCGTACCACCAGTGGTACGTGTACCACTGATTGAGAACCTCTGCTCTAGACTGACCAAGTATGTGAGAAAATGAGATGTAAAAAAAATCAACATAAAGCTAACCATTAGTAAAACATAAATGTCACTTATCTTCTTTCAAATATGTCCAACCTATTATAAGTGTAAAATATTTAATGCTACTTGATAAACTGCATGAAGTTTATTTTATTTTCAAACTTATTAATAATTATGTTAATTAATTCATGTTTAGTAATAATGCATAATACTTAGGGATCTATTTTATTTTTAAGATGGTATTACAAAAGTGAAATTGAGGCATAGAATAATATTTTTAATTGTATTTATTCAGTTCCCATTTGCTCATAGGTTCTTAATTTTTTCATTAGTTTTCCTTAAAAGCACTTAATTTCCGTGTGCAGAAATGTGTATGAACCCTTTGTATGATATACTGGGAGCAAAGAGCTCCATATGGTTCCTACACCAAAAGATAATTGCATACTATAGCTACATTCACAAATTCTTTCAGAAGGTAAAGTACCTTTCTTTTGAAAAAAAAAATACAGCATCACATTCTGGACAATTGTTAACTGAAAATATTAGAAATTCTAACAATCAAAAACTGTTCATTCAACAGCAACAGGTTTGAAGAGCTGCAAAATTATAAATCTTGTGTAGATTATAAGTTTTGTCTTTAGTCATGTAGTTAATTTTGTCATCCTGGCTGTTTGACATATGGGGATACATTGCAATTTCTTAATCCTGAATTGTGCCAAGCTTGCAATAAAAAGAAAGTATTCTTTCAACTTACATAATGTACTGTTTCTGTGTATATTTTATATTATTAGTAATCATATTTTTGAATAGTGTACTGAAAAAGCTAAAGGGGAGAAATGCACAAGCAGAGGAATATCCTTGTGTTTATTTATATCTTTTTGGTACTTCATAATATGTTATTGGCTTTTTCCTAGGTAGATTAATTCTTCCTTGTCTAAAGTGTCTTCACCATGCTCTTAAAAACCAGTCTACTTATCTTTTTATTATCTGCTCCCGATAGTATATTCATATAGCTTTAAAAACTTAATATTTTAAAGAAAGAATACAAGGAAGACTTTGTATATAAACTGTGGTTTTTAATTTAAAAAAAAAAGTTAAAATATTTTTTCTTTGTTCAAAAGTATTTGAAGTTATGTGTGTATATTATATATGTGTGTGTGTAATAAGATGATTTGGAGTTCATTCAAACAGTGAAAAGTTGACAGATTGACAATGGTTCTCTGTGTTATATCCTGGGGAGACTTTACTGTGTAGTTAAAAAGATTTGACTTGTAGACAGACATGGCCTTGAAGAAGAGACTTGTAGACAGATGTGGCCGAATTGAATATAATTTTTATTGGTTTTTATTGTAATTATCGAAACCATATTTTTCATCGCACATGATCGTGGGACAATATGCTTATCCTACAATTTTATACAGAAGATCACATTTTAGATAACAGCATAGCAGCATGACAAAGCAAAGGGAACAAACTAGCATCTTGATGGCAAGAGAGCTGGAGCCTAAATTGTACAATTATCCAATATGGAGCCTAACCAAGAGAACGTTTTGGTTTAGATTAGAAAGGTTTCACTTCTCAAAATTTTGAGTTCAGGTTCCGAGTTAGCTATGTCACCAGCGTTATTCAAGCCATGCTAGGTGGATTAATCTCAAAATAATGCAATCCAGAAAAGTTATTACAATTTTTAGAATGGAAAGAGGAATTAAGGGCTTACCGTTAGTTTAAATAAGAATTGATTTATGTATTTTTTATCTTGCATACTCTCTCTTTATAGATATATATATTGTGTATCTGTGTATATGCTATATGTATGTGTGATTTTCAATATTAGTGTTGGACTTTTTTGTAGCCCTCTGATCATGGAAAGAAAATTGCAAAATACTATTGGGCTGGTGCTGTAAGTATGAATTTATAAAATTTTTATATATTCTTGAAATTTAAAGAAATGGAATTTAACTGCTTTCAGTTTAAAATGACTAATTATTTTGAAAATTGCTGTTTTTGAGCTTATACTTTAGTATATGTTGGGTCATCCAAAAAATTCTACTGTCCCCCCCCCCCTCAAATTGAAGGTCATTTTCTTCTCGTTGTTTTGTTACTATTGATAACCTTGATTGGAGCAGATGTGTAAATACAGTCTTTTTTGCTAATGTTATATAATTCTAGTGTTTCTGTAATAATAATAATTAAAAAAATAAATAAAAAAACCTGGAAAAAAGCACATGCAACAAAACCCTGCCTCTCCCCCTAAAAAAAATTCCACGTAATTTCCCAAGTGGCAAATACCCACATGGGTGAAACGAAACTGCACATAGATCAAAGGCCACATTGATAAAAGCTGGCAATTGCCCATGTGACAAATACCCACATGGATGAGACTGCCTGCACAGAGATAAAAGCTGATATTGTAACAAACCCACATTATTGAAAGCCCTCATGATTATAATTTTTTATCAATATAAAATGCATGATTGTAATTATAATAAATATTGATCATAATATTATTAAATGGAGTATTTGCATCTCCTTTTATGCAAAAAATGTTTCTTTATATTTTTAACAATATTTTATTTGTTTGATTTATTAGGTGAAAAGGAAAATTTTCATCTTTCTAATTAATTAGCTAGCTGTAACGTTTTGATAATAAATCTAAAATTTTTACTCATTTATTTTACTCCTTTTTTAATTAATTATTTATTTATTTTGTATGGAAATGAAAAATATCACTCGGAAGTTCCATAAATATAAAAATTTTTTTAACATTATATGGTTATGACCAATTATATGTATATTTTAATATTAAAAAAATGGGGAAGCTATTATTTATCATATAATGAAATAACTTGGATTTATAGTTATAACAGAATGTTTCTTAAGCCTCTTTTAGTTCTTGAATGAAAGTGTAAAGTAGGATCTTTGAGAATTTATATATGCTCACTAAAAGATTCATTTCCTTTCCTTAATTGTTATCATAAATCAAATAAAATGTCAATCAAAAATGTTTGAAAAAAATCATTAATCTTCACTCTCAAAAATTTGTTTCGTTTTAAAGAAATTTAATTTCTCATATTATTTTTTTCCCTCAATTTGACATTGGAGACGGGCTATGCGCGTATAGGAAAGTATGTATTTGCCTTTGGATGCAGCTCTTAGACTTTTATCTTAGAATTGCTATGCTGAATGATTTAACATTTTTTATAATGCTAAGCCTTCTAATGCTACTTATGGATTCTCAAAATCCGATTACAAACTGTATTTGAAGCAGCCTTAATTTTAATATAATAATTTTAATAACTAGAATATAATTTTCCTCCCACATTGTTATTTTTTATGCAAATGAAGAATATGACATACTAAAATATTTGCTAAATTTATTAATCATTATCTAAATTACCCATGACATCCAAATACTTAAATATATATAGCAGTCATAATATGTATTGTTGTTATAGTAGTTAAATGTGTAAAACAAAGTAATAGCAATAAAAACGTACAAACTTTAATTACTATAGTTCTATAGCTTACTTTTACTGCTTCACTGAAACACAATAAATAAAAATTCAGAAATATTAGGATAGTCGAGTGAATTAAACAAAGGAAAGCATGCATTCATAAATGTTCAAAACTAAAATGTGTATTATCATTTTCACATATTTTTTTATTACTTTTGCTAGGTGTAGATATCGGGTTGTAATGAAAGTTTTCTGCCAAAAATTGTTCTGAATAAAGTTTTGGGGGGACATGAAAACAGTATCTTTAGTATGGTTAGTAATCACCATCCAAATCTACGATAGTCCTTTAACCCTTTGAAGGGAACCAGTATATAATATATACCAGTTGTATTTCAATTTTTTTAACCTCAGAAAAAATGCTTATTTTTGTACACCAAAAGCTATAATCGTAAGTGTCTAGCGTTTCCTTTTGATTCTAAATGACAGCATCACTCTGTGAATGCTCAATATTTTGCAGTTATGAAATTAATATAGTATCTTGTTCCAAGGTATCATGTTTGAAGATTGATAAATTCTATTGGTGGGAAAGAAAAAATTCAAAATCTGGAAATATATGATGTACACATGCTGAATCTTATATATTTTCTTCATTTCAGTCAGAAGTGATAATTAACAAAAGATTATTTATACAATTTTAAAACCGATATATAATACATACCAGTGCCCACACTGAGGGTACCACGCCAATAGATGGCTGCATTAGTCTTCTCCTTTTCTATTCTGTGGCATGACAGAATTTCTTTATATTATAACAGTTTATGATGTAATACTTTTTTATGATTATTTTATAAGTTGTTTAGGATTCAATATTATGTTCATGAAGGGATGGAGAGTTTACTGACTCTACACTAGAACTGAATACAAGTATATTAGTTTCTTTTATTCCACTCGAGTTTCTTTCGTCTCTGTTTAGCTAAAATTTTAATTTCAGACTTTACCCTTTCCCAAGAGAAAGACTCGTCGATTTTAAAATTGCTGTCTGGGGTCAAAATTTTACGCAAGTTAGCCTCCAAAAGAACCCATTGCTTCGTGTTTTCCAAAATCCTACAATGCAAGGGAAATGAAAAGAGGTGATTGACAACTGATTTGTCATTCGGGAGTCATGCCTTCTTCCCTTTGTGTGGTTACACAAAGAGACAGCTCACTTAAAAATACAGGACATGGAAATACACTTAACGTCCGTCTCACAAACTGCTGATTTGAAAGCATTTTTTTATTCTTATCGTCTTTGTTAATTTCAGATGAAAGACTAGGGAATGCAAGAGAAATTTGCCCTCTGGGATAGAATACAAATAAGTTGTTTTGGAAGTAAATTTCACAGTTGGTGAAAGGAGAGAAAATATTTCTAAGCCCGTTTTAGATGCAAACTAGAATTTATCCACAAGTTGAAAAGGAGCCCTTAGGAAGCCAAAGGGGTTGAAAATCAAAATAAGAGCTTTGAGGTGTATCAAATAGTAAAATTGTTTAACGGTGTTTCTTCATGAACAAAACGATGCATTACAACCTATATTTACAAAAAATAAGAAAGGGACTCTTACGGTCCTCAGTAATCTAAAGCAGGGATGTCAAACTCATAGGTACACTTGGGCCAAACAAACAAGGTTTAACTTTAGGCGGGCCGCAAAAAAAAAAATCAATATTCATAGAAACATAGATTTATTTCGAATAATACAATAATAAACATATATATATATATATATATTTATATAGAAAAGAACAAGAAAAATTTAATGTTTACGTCCTGATACTTGACATCTCTTCTCTGCTATTATCTTTCCTATTTCGAGAGAAATTTTGTTTGCAGTGATAACTTTCAATGCTGACCCAAGGTGAGCATCATTAATACGGTTTCTAACAGGAGACTTATTACCTTTCATGACTGAAAATAACTGCTCGCACCGATAAGTGCTACCAAACATGGAAATAATTTCATATGCGAATTTTCGAGTATTTTCAAACCTGGCTGGTAAATATTTGTAAAATTCAGGCATGCCCACTTCAATGAATTTTGCTTTCAAATTTGAGTTGCATTGAATCTCGATCACCTCATTTGCATATGGCTGGGTACTGAGTCAATGCTTATTGAGAAAATCGAAGAAAACAAAAAACAAAAAAAACAAAAAAAAATTGTCTTCGAGGGAACTAAAATCAGTAAACCTTGTTTCAAATTCAGTTGTTAAATTTGCAATTTTTTCTGCATATTTTTGATACGAACAAGTATCATCTAAACTTGATTTGTTCATGCTGCACGTCGGGAAGTGCGTCAAATCTTCATTTTTAAGTTGTTTTCCCCAAAGAACTAGTTGACATTTGAATGCTTTAATTATGTCAAACATGTTCGTAATGATATGATCTTTCCCTTGTAACAATAAATTTAAATCGGTTAAGTGTTTGGTTATATCAACCAAGAAAGGTAAATCTTGTATCCATATTGGATCGTAAAACAAACTTATGTCTTGATTTTTTGTTTTAAAAACTGACATATTTCTTCTTTCAAATCCCAGAATTGTTTGAGAATCTTGGAGCAAGGTAACCAACGTACCTCGGAATAGTAGGACAAACCCGAATATTCACTATCTAACTCACTTAAGAAAGTAGTGAACTGACGCTGATTTAAACCTCGAGATCTTATAAAATTTATAACTTTTTTTATATATGACAAAACATTCTCCATATTTATTACTTTCGTGCATAGAACTTCTTGATGTATAATACAATGCATATGATGAATTTTTGAACCGTGAATTTCACTAAGTTTTTTTCTTAGTAATGCTACGAAGCCCTTGTTTTTCCCAGTCATTGATGGAGCGCCATCTGTAGCTACAGAATTTAATTTTGCCAAAGGTAGATTGTATTTCTGCAGAAGTCCAAAAACACAAGTAAATATATCTTCTCCTGTGGTAGTACCAGACATCGGTATTAGTTCCAGTAATTCCTCAAAAATGTTAAAATTCTTGTCACAAGAATGAAGAAACACTGCTAATTGAGCTTTGCCACTAATGTCCGTGCTCTCATCACAGGCAGTGGAGAAACTTTCGAAACTAGATGATTTTGATCTGATCACTTAAATTCACGGCTAAATCAGGAACTCTTTCCGCAACTGTATTTCGAGACAATGAAATTGATTGAAAAGCCTTCACATTTCCAGGACAAACAATTTCTCCAGCTTTCATTAGGCATTCCTTGATGAAATCATCGTCAGTAAAAGGCTTCGAATGTTAGCTATCAACTCGGACAAGACGTAGCTTGCATGTACCGCCGCTTCACTTTCTTGCAATACTTTACTAAACATGGACTGTTGCTTTTTCACTCCTAACTTGAGCTCTTTCAACTTTTCTTCTCTCATTAATCCTTCGTAATTGTTATATTTTGATTTGTGTTGTTC